TTATACATTCTTTTAAACTACGTTTAAACGTTCTAAATAATGTTTACAAATAAAATTATTTCTAAAGGTTTAGTTGTTCTTTTTTTTGACAACATTTTCATTGAGTAGGTGTATTGTACAATGTACATGTTTTGTACTTTTCATAGCTTTATCAAATTATGAAACATAAATGGTAACATACAAGGATATCTTCTAGGGAAATTAAAATGATCAAATTCGTTATTTTTAATAATTCGTTTAACTAAATAAAAAATATTTTATTTTTTGGAATACAAAGACCATTTAACCCCGGAAGTATTGTTTAAGAGATAAGTACTCAATTCGAACTCAACAACCCCAAAAAAATATTAATCGATATTATGCATCATGTATTTTTTTTAATTGATAAAAAAAAACCTCTTCACAAATGAGATTAAAATTTTAAAACTCATTCCAAATAGCAAATTTGAACTTGATATCTTTAAAACTAAAATTTAGAAGACATAAGTTTCTATTGCTTTTTTTTTTTTAAAATACCGATAGATTAGATAGGCTACTACCAAAGTATGAAAACATAAAACAAATCACAAAGGTACTACTTGTTGTGTACATCATGGCTGTTGACATGGTTATTATGCCCAAGTACATATTAATAATAAAATATTAAAAACAATATTACCTAGTCCCTGCTACCCTATATTATCACTATCACGCGCCAGTTCGTTATTTGAAAAATTCCACACAATAACGCTCCAAGGAGAAATTGTTCAATAATTACATTGTATAGGCTGACATGTACACACACTTTTTTACAATTTCCAAATGGGGCTCGACATTTTCAACTGTAATTTTTTTTCGTCAAAGGCCTCGGTACCGCGGGGCTCTAGGCATCTGTCCAGCTTAATGTACCCTTCAGCCACGCCCAAGACGAGTTAATGAAAACTGAAACACGTTACACCGCCAATATAATGTAAACCTTGTTGCATTCCGAAATTACCGTGTATACTTATGCATATATATCTAGGCACACACGCCGCAGGGATTAATAATATTCCCATCGCGATATTAACCTGTGTACACGGGGTTTCAGATCATTGATATTTTCTTAAGCTTAACGCTACTCAACACCAGGAAGTAATAATATTGATAACGTCGATGTAATTCGAAAACTACTACAAAACACTTGCCGTTTCCCGTTGAATTAACAGCTATCGTTTACTGAACATTAGAATAATATTGTTGTATTTAATTATTTTCCGTACTTAGTTTCGTGCATTTATTAATTAGACAATATACAAACGATGGCTATATTTGAACTTGATTTTGATTCGTTTGAGAAAAGATAAAAACAAAATATTTCTGAATTTTACAAAACCAATGCAAATCTCTCTCGTTGTATCTAAAAATTGGCAATTATTATTGTATTACAAATGCGGGAATGTACAATAATAATGATAAAATAATATTATACCTGGTAAAATTTTGAGTAATTTGAAATTTCCCAGTGAAATGTGGACAAACTTTTATGCGAATACAATAATGTAGTAGAAAAAAAAGATATTTTTATACTTTATTAGACATAATAATAACTGTATCAATTAAAAATATATGAACTATGCATTCGGTCTACAGACGCTTCTTTCCAAATTTGCAAACATACTTCATGTTATTAATGTACTTTTTTTTTTATTAGTTATACAATGTGTTGTTTGTATATTGTTTTCTTTTTTTTTTGTTCCCATTATTAATGATATACTGATCAAACAATAGACGTATTCGTATTGCTATAATTGTTGTTGTTTAATTAGACATTTTACACAATCATAAATTACAATGTACCGAATGTGTATTGTGTATATGTTAATAAAAAAAATAAAATACAATAATTACCATTACACAGCACAATGTATACGGAAAGTTGATCGCTGTGAATTAGCTTTTTTCATATTGTTCATAATATGTATTGCAGATAAAATATTCGACTCTATTGATAGCCTTTTGAACGGGTTAGTATACAGATATTTGGAGCGCTTCCAACACGGTCAGTCTTATATGCTACCGACCGAAATTCATTTCGATATGCTAGTAATTTGATATTCACTATCGATTTTTGATTCCGCGACACGTTAATTGTAAGACCATCAAAGTGCCAAATTACCAATTATTAATGCCTGCATTTTTCTACTATGCGAACAGTGATCATAATAAATCGCCATGCACACAATAAATAGCTCTCTCAAATGACAATGATTCTAAACACGGTTGTCTTTCGTAGTCGTTGCATCTGTCGGGAAACAAGTTGTTTTTTTTTCCAAAGCTTATACGATTTTAGTTATTAGGACTATTGGTGTCGTTATTGTGACCTTTTGTCTAGTCATCGACACAAGAGTAATACATCAAAAGATAACTACCATTCGCGCTGTAACAGTTCTCGTTGCTGCTCCATAGTCTCATTAATATTATTGTTTTTATTCTACTTGTAATTACTAATATTTATTACCGTTAATAATTTCACAAGGTTTGCGGCGCACGTGCGTCACCACTCGACTCCGTCGTTTTATTTATTATATTTACACCTAATTTTCTTGTAGGTTAAAGTACGTAGTATAGCATGTTCAGTTGTATTGCTAAACCGTTTTGGCATAGACGTTTTTTTTTTAAACATCAAGTGACGTTAACAAGCATCGTTAACGTCAATTACTCTAATATGTATATATTATTTATACCAATGTATAAAAACAAAAGTAAACAGTACATGTCCTAGAATAACTGCTGCATTTTAAATATATGCTTTTTTAATTAATTAATGTAAATTCAAACTTTGAAAACATAAATAATAATAAAGTTTTAAAATTTTACTTTTTGATAAAGAAAAAAACCGTTCAATTCGGTTGAATTTTTCCATGGAACGCGCTGACAGAAGATATTTGCATTAACTTTTAATAGTAAAACCAGTGACGTATTTAGAGGGGGGAGATAGATCACACGCCAGAGCTTTTTAAAACTTTGAAAACGACAGACTATGTAGATGCGCAAACTGTTACCGGCGTTATGCTTACAGATAAAGAGAGCCAAGGCCAATTTTGTTTCGAATTTTGGGGGTTGCCCAGATGAAAATTGTAAATACGCCACCGAGTCAACACTGTGTGTTAAGAGCAGTCCAGGGAAGTGGTCGGTGATAAAAACAGACTGTATAGACTGCAATTAAATAAATTCCTGTGCAGATAATAGTTGTAAATTGTATTACATAAAACAAAAAAGGGTGAATGATCGATTGGCGTGGAACTGTCGCGGTGGAAGGTCTCGAGTTGAACGCAGTGTTTTCGAAGAGTTAAGTATGGCTTTGAATTGAGCAACGTTACCTTGTCGAGTGCACTACACCGGAATTCGTTATAAAAACAAATAAATGTCTTTGTGGTGCCATATTATCTTAAAATAATAACGCTGCACAAAAATCAATATTAATATCAAATGTATATTTTTCGTATTTAGTTTTAGATTGCCAAAGCAACTCAAAAGGATTAATAACTACGGCGAGTTTGCTTGATTATAAAACTAATTGCAATGAAATATTCTTTAAACGTTTTTTTTACCCTATTATTATTATTTTTTGTACGCCTCTCCAAACACCTACAAATAACATTTAACAACCATACAATAAAGGAAAGTTCACGTTAAATAAAAGAGGGTTATACAAGGTATTTTTATAATTTAAAAAATGTCAACCGCATAATTTGTTTTAACCGTAAATATTATTACATAGTTACTATAATGTTAATAACAGCTGTTGATGTATCTTAAATTCATACGAGCATTGTCGTTTGAGAGAGAATAATTTATTCAGTATATTGCCTGATCGATAATGTTTTAAAATTACTCCCATTTCATCCGTGAAGTGTTTGTTTATTTTATTGGTTGACCATATTTTTATTATTTTCAGAAGATACAATTAGTACAATTGAATTAGTATACAAGTTAGAATTTTAAGTTTCGAAAATCTTTACCACATATTATGACTTAATATACTTATTTTAAAACGTTATAAAAAATTATTACAAACCGTAATTATTATACTCTAGTGTAAGAGAAAAAAAACGAATTTCCAAAATGTTTAATTATCTCAAGTTTGTAGTAATTTAGATAAGGAAATTAGCGTGAAGCATTACCCTGTATTATTGTATTGGTTTTTCAAAATTGTATTTTAACTGTATTAACACATTTTTTTTTTAAATGCGTCTGATACAGAAGTAATAAAACGATGGCCATGCTATAGACAATAAACGACGTTTCTACAATAAATCACTATTATCGGTAGTCACGGAACCAAACTGGTGTCCGGCCGTGTTCGTTTATAATTCAAACGATGCGTTTTGAATGCCAAACACTGCGGAAGTTCAATTAAATGGGCGAAAAATAGAGTTGGCGTTAAAAATGAACGGTTTGATTATTTTATTTTTCGCTTTCACGTACATGTATTATCCATTAATATAATGATATATTAAATAACTGAATTACCGAAACAATGATTCGCAATTACTTATTAGCAATAAAATTGTATTTTGTTTAAATAAAACCAAAAAAAAACAATTTAAAAATAATTTATTATCTGTACTTTGATTATGATTGAATGTCCTTATTTATAAGCCTGATCATTCAGCAGACTGACGTTAAACAATGATTTTTTTTTTTTTAACGTCTAAGCAAAGCTGAGGTTTTTTTTGTTTGATTTTATGCACAGCTGTTATACTCGCGCTGTGTCATTTTCTAATTGTCACTGACACGTTATTCATTATTATAAGAAACTGAACTTAACCTAGACTAACTAAAAAAAATCAACTTATCCTAAGGTAACAACTACATAATATACAACAATAGTGATTTCTCGAGGAGGAAACTTGGCTTTTCATCAGCTACAATACAATTAATTAATTGGCCTTTAAATATAACAGTCTTATCGTATTTTTATCCACCGATTGTACTCGAATAATTGTGATTTTTTAAATCGTATGTGTTCTACTTACTGTGTTTTAATCCAGGAAAATTATGTCGATTAATCTGAAATAAAAAAATAAAATAATTAATGTCAATTTGAGAATTGTGTAACATATCAAAGTAAACGGTTTAATTAAAAATTATAAGGCGCGAAAACAGCTAGGACGCTTAGAAGTCGATGACTATTTTCCCTTTGTTTTAATGACACTTTATTTATAATAAATACATAATATCCAATAGTTTCAGCTTAAATTTTAACTTGATCGCAAAGCACTAAAACATTAAAACGGTACGACTAAGTAATTGAGTCAATTCGAATACAAAAATATAGAATTCAATAATATAACTATGTTTAAGCGCTTTCTAACCAAAACACGATTGTATAACATTTGAATTTGATTCGTATTACATCGCTGCATGTTTAATATTACATAATACACTAAGATTATAATCTACACTTTAGAAGTATAGTCTCAGGTATAACACCAGATGAGCCATCAGAAAATCATACTATTGACAATTTTATTCAATTTATTCAACACTTGTTGTAGCTATAACAAATAATACAAATATTGGCTTGCGAGCGTTTCCAATAATTACTGACAAAAACTAATATTGGGCTTGTAATATTAATTGTCTATTTAATCAGTAAATCATTGCTTTGATCTGTTTAATTGTTGAGCTGTATGAGTTTATCAATCTAGAAACTGATAACATTTTGAAACAAATACTAAAGGCTATTATTTTTTTAAACTAATTTGTGTTTAATATCTTTAAACCAGATAAGGGTAACTAATTGTTTTAGAAATCAGCTTGATAACATAAGTGTGTTTAACCCAAGACGTGAGATTTTTAACTTCATGAAAGGTACATTTTTTTCTGTTCAATTTGTGAAATGGTTAGGGAATTTGCCAAATTTACAAAAAAAGCAAAAAAAGCGCCTATAAATTTAGCAAAAAATGGCCCTATCATGAAATTGCACGTATGGGGTGTAACATGTAGGTATATAAGTATATTTTATGTACTGGTAAAAGTTATATTTAGGTCACCGATTTTCTAATTTTTTTATTGTGTAACAAAAAACTGATGACTCGACAAAACAAATTAAACTATGTTGGAGTATACGTAAATAAATGTTTATTACTTTTGAATAATGATAGTACTTTATTAACATGGAACAATTAATTTGTGGTTAACTTAGTTTTTCGATAAAGTAAAATAATTTTTAGAAGATGGCATGTCCGATTTGATATATATTTGTACAAAAAACATATGAATAACTGCATTGTTTATAAATTTGTAAGTAACAAAAATTAAATACTACTTTGCATTTATCTTTACTAAGTTACCATAAGAGAATAATTTTTATTTAGCGAATTTAATTTTTATTAAAAATTTTGAATAAAAATTCATGTATTTCTTTGGCGGTCAGCCATGACATCTATTTAGTACCTAATAATTATTAACAGTCAAACTTTTTTTGTAATTTCTGAAAAAATGTTTGATCTAAATAGTTTAAATCAATTTTTCAGAATATTAGAAATACTTCGTCCACTTATTCAGTACAGAGTTCTGCTAAAAAATAATAAATATTAACCATTCAAAAATTAAAGTTTATTTCTATAGATTTCAATAAAAAAAAAAAAAATACAAATTTGGCTAAAAGTTTCCACTAGGTCTGGTTTAATATTTTTTTTACTTAATTGCTGTTATCGTTAACAGTCTGATGCTTTAAGATGACAGTCTGTTGAGATTTTTTTGGCAATTGTGATAGATTGCTTTTCAAATCTTAAACATCCGTAGACCAGAAAATAAGAGGACTAAAGAACTCATTTTATAAAAAATATGCCGTAGTATCCTTTAAAAAAAGGATTTAACGGGTATTTGTTACGTTTAACGATTATAACCGCACTAATATATTCAATTGATATAATTGATTTGCTATGACAACAAAAATTTATAATTTCATCTTGTACGTTTTTATTTTTACCAATAAATACAATAAAATCAGTTACAGATGAAAAACCTGTTTCTGCGTGTGCCTAAAATTATTATCTGTTCCCAAAATGTCGTCTATTTTTATTTATAATTTACATATAATTGCAATTTTAAAATGCATGAATATTAATACCAGGCTACAATATTCATATTATGTCTTAAAGATCACAATGTTATAACGTTTTATAGTTTAAAAAACCGGTTAATATATATTTCTACATTACTATGTTATCATTATAATGTCATATTTAAAAAGCATTGCGTACAGAATTAAATTAACACGCTTTAGCAGAAAAAATTTTTAATTTCGGAGAATAATCCTTTTACTTGATTGATTTTAATATATTTTGTCGATGAGTGCAAGTTTATCAGCTAAAACGTTTACGAAGCAATATATGAAAGAAAATTTTCCTTATGGGTTTAGGCTTTAAGGTTAATTTATAAAAAGTAAATTGAATGTTGCGTATACTTGAAAAAAAATTAAATTACATGGGGGCCACTCACTCTTTCACAACACACGACGCATATACATTTACACATAATTCCTTAATGGTACACTTGAGTGTAACCCGGAGAAAATTTTAAATATTAAATTCTCTCTGTTGTCCGATTCCCTTTTAAAAACCACGGGAATAGGTTAAGTACTTACGCATTGTTTTTTTCCGCGCTTGAAATACAAATATTTTTTTCATTCGTTTTGTACATTTAATATATTTTTTCTTTTAAATGATAGATAAAAAAAGGTGTAGCATGATTGTGACGCTATGTTGCAAATCAGGAGGCTGGAGACATTGCTTTACGGACTCACTCAACCAAAAGCGAGACAACGGCCAAAAGAACGCTGTATTTTAATAATGTTTCTGTATAAAGTGTATCAATGAAGAGAAAACTTCTTCTTTTGTGTCCAAATGTAATGGAAAATTAATTTGAAAAAAAAAATAAGAAGTTTTGACAATGGTAAAATATTATGCCTATACCGGAGCAGTTTTCACAGTAACTGATAAAAAATGTATGGGCAATAATAAAATCTCATTTATCGGTTACCAACTTCCGGTATAGGTATTATCGATTGCTGTTTAACGGCGGCGGCCAATATAAATAATAAACTTTCTCAAAATATTTACACGGTAGCAATAGTAAATAACAAAAGTTTTCTTCGTTGAATGTTTTCCTCTCTCCGTTGACAAAGAGCAAATCCTTCTTTTTCACCTAAACGGCTTAGTCACTATTGTATGATGATCGATATTATCCAATACACTGTACACTGTACATTCATCAACTTAATAATACAATTATGGAAATTGGAGTCAAAACTATTGTCATCTAACTTGTGAAATAATCCGCATTAATTGGATATTGTAGCATATAACATATAAGTTAAGACACCGATTAGTAATACATCAAAGCATATCGGTAAAAATGTTCAGGTACAAAAATGTCCAAAATAATTTTACTAACAAACTATAAATGTAAACAAAATCAATTGTATTTTTGATTGATTATTTTATTTCCGTGTGATTTGTAATACGTTTTGTCACTGTGCCAGAACAATATATATTATCCAGTACAATGATATTAAATGAATGTATTGTATATGATAATGGCGTACAAAAAAATTTAATTTTATTAAGTACAATAATTGTATATTTTGGTAATTTTCCCAGAAAAAAGTAGTATTCAATATTAAATCTAGTTATATTAAAGGTTAAAATGAGAATTCTAAAAACGATATATTTTGCACTTATGACTTTACCCGTATTGTGGTAATTTGTATGACGGCTTTAAAATTTATGTGTTAACCTAATAAAGTATAATATATTTGGCACTCGAACAACTTTAATGTTTTTTAGTTTTATTAGTTATCCAACGTTTTAAACCTATTGCAGGGTCCATCTTCAGAGTAATAGTCACCGTTCCACTGTTGCGACTATACTGTTTATCGACCAAGTTGCAACCTTGTTTTCTCGATCAATTGGTGTCGTATATGTCATGTGATTTTCTTTGTTTTCTGTTTTCTTGATGGCAAATCATACATTGGAAAAACTGGAAGTGCAATAGTCGCACATTCGAAAGAACACGTAAGAGATGTTAAATTCAAAAGAATAGAAAAATCTGAGGCAGCGAAACATGCAAAAATTAACAGATATCCTGTTCGACCGGGTAAAAATACTAAACACAGAATGAAAGTATGTTGTTCAAAGAAACAATAGAAATTTAAGAATGCCTAGAACATTTCTACAGAGAAAATGATTGGAAAACTAGTGATGCGTGGAAACCAATTATTCAAAAGGGTAAAGAAGGAACCAACCGAGCAATGCCAAACGATAGAAACAGCTGTTGTCGAAAAAAAATACAAATTGTGGAAGTAAAAAGGGAAGAGCAAAATGCAAAGAATGCCAAAAGAGTAATAAACAGTTATAAACAGTAAAAAGGAGAAAACAAAAAAAAACACATGACCCATACGACACCAATTAGTTAGAAAAAACACGGTTGCGACTTGGTCGAGAAAAAATTCATTATGTTGCGACAGTCAAACAACAATGACTATGCTTTTAAAGATAGACCCTGCAATAGGTTCGAAACGTCAGCTAGCTAATGTTACTATGGCTATATCTGAAAATGATTAAACTAATAGCTTGGATTGACCATGTAAGTTTTAACACATTCATAACTTTTATTTTATTAATATGTGATTTGTGTATTAACTTACACTGATTTAAAATTTAAAAATGGCATGCAAATTTTGGTTCATTGACGTATTTCCTTCTAAATATTTTTGTATAATATAGACATATTTTCTAAGGCCATTTTTTCTCCAGACATTTTTATCAATGCTCCAAAACTTTATTTATCTTTGATATTCCAAAATAAATTGAACACCGTTGGATTTTTTGATTTTCTTTAAACTTTGTTCAATAAGTACAAGATATGTTATCAAGATACGGATTTATAAAATAATGATAATCGTTTGAATTTTCTGTTGAAAAATTAAAATTTGCATAAAAATATACAGCATGTCACGATTTTGTTTAGTTAAGTATTTTTAGCTTCGATGCAAAGCGAGAAGGTATTGGTTTTACTCTGATGTGGGCTTTTTTTTTCGCTGTATACACTGTAACTTTTTTATTACTAGACCAATTCCTTCGAATAGCAACTCTATAAATCACAAATTTTATCTAGTTTGTACTTTGGGGAGGTAAAAGTTGAAAAAGTTTAAGTCTTCATAGACGAAATTTGAAAAAACAAAAAAAAAAACCGTACGAGTTTTTAAGTTAGAACTTTTATTGGCTATAATTTCGAGAAAAAAAGTCGGATCGAGTTGAAACGTATAAGAAATAATTATTTGGTATGCCCGCACACGACAGTTGTGTCAAATTTAAACTATACCCATTTCCCACCCCCCTAGGGGGGGTACAAGTTTTTTGTTTTTTGGGGTTTTTAGCCGTAATTTTAAAACTTCTGGGTTGAAAATTTGCCAGTAGTTGGAACTCATATGTATCCATAACATATTAAACGGGTGAAAAATTTGGCACTTCAGTTTTTTTTTAATTGCCGGGAAACTGCGTTTTCGCAGGTTGCGTATATTTGAACAAAAACACCTAAAATCTTTAAAAAAAATTGTATGTATATCTATGCAGAATGATACTATTAAGTTTTGTGCTTGAGTACCACTTTTGACTTTAAGTTTACACAAATTCAATTTTTTTTTTTTTTTTTAACTAAAAACCCGGTGTACCAGATGGGAGAAACGATCAGACACTAACAACTATCAGTTGGTAACGTCTATCCGTGTTAGATTAGGTTAGGGCCCAATGATCGGTATCATAATATTGTGTTTATTACATGATATCACAGACGACTAAATCGTGTAACTGATTATAGTAGACACTCGATTTACTGGGAAAAAAACCTATCCTTGTACTTATTAAGACACTTAATGGTTCTGATACGACAAAATCACTGTCGTTATCCCGTTTTTTTATAGCCTGTGTTATATAACCTTACCGAAGGTCAACTATGAATATATAAGGTCCAACTACCTGCAAATTATGAAGAGGACTGTTGTTTTTTGGATTCAGATTAAGTGTTGGTTTTTATGCAGTATACCGCCTCAAAATGTATTTTTTATTACACAATTTTTTCAAGGAAAACTTATGTGTTGCATATTGTTATACTGTTTTTCATTTAAAGAGTTTCACGCTTGATTGTTTAAATTGTCTAATACTAGATAATCTGCTTCGTGCTAATTTTAATTTTTTAGTTTATCAACTTGTAGCTCTAATTTTGTATAAAATATTTCATTATTTTAGTACTATGTACAAATTAAGATAAATTTTAATAATAATTAAGTCATAAATGATAATACTTTATTTTATGACTAGATTAAATCTCGTGAACATTTAACATCATGATACTGCTCCTATGCTTTTATTAAAATAACACAATTTTTAAAATCTCCATAAAAGGTTATGGTTTAATAACAGGCAACAGCCGACCGCTAGTGGCTATACACGTTAGTAATATTTAACTAATAAGTAATATATGTAGCTAAAATGTATTGTTTTCTCCATCACAGTACCAGTACACGTATTATTTTAATTTAAATGTAAGAAAATCGATTTTTCTTTAGAAAATAACAAGAAATTAATATACAGGATGAGGCAATAAAACGGCAATTTTCTAATGTATTTAAATGGGAAAACCGGTTTCACTCTCCCACCCTTTACATTTTAAGGATCTATGAAAAGGTTTTTTTAGTTGCATTTTATTTTGTACATTGTCAATCTAGTAAAATAGAAGTATAATATAACTTTGAAATAAAGTAATCTATGAAGTATATAATATATATTATATATAGTATAAATATTAATTTTATTGAGAATAAGCGATTATAATTTAAACTATGGAGTACAAACGATTGAAACATGAATCGTCGACCATTGAAACAAAATATAACAAGACATTGTATATGTGTTATTTGGTCCACTACGTTTTTGCAAAATAAAAAAAAAACCAGTACAGTGGGGTCGGGGCATAGTGGGGACGGGGAGGTCACAGGTTTACAGGAATTTTTAAATCTGAAAGTGATAAAATCACTTTCGAAAAAACGCTTCGATGCAAATCGGTAGTTAGTATTTTCAAGCCAGTACAGTCCAAACCAAGCGCAGTATAAACCAGCAAAGTTAGAAAGTTTCAAATGAAGGTTCTGTATTTACAAATGAGCATCAAAGCGTTTATTTGAAAGCGATTTTATTAAATTTTATCACTTTTATTTATAATAATTCTTGTAGACCTGTGACCTCTTTATTTCCTCGTTGCTTTGATTACATTATGCCTATACTCTACTGTACTAGTCCTCTCGGATAAAATCACTTTCAAATTAACGCTTTGATGCTCATTTGTAAATACAGAACCTTCATTTAAAACTTTCTAATTTTGCTGGTTTATACTGCGCTTGGTTTGGACTGTACTGGCTTGAAAATACTAACTACCGATTTGCATCGAAGCGTTTTTTCGAAAGTGATTCTAACACTTTCAGATTTAAAAATTCCTGTAAACCTGTGACCTCCCCGTCACCACTATGCCCCGACCCAACTATGCTCCGTCCCCACTATGCCCCGACCCCACTGTACTGGTTTTTTTTTCTTTCTCAATATTTTAAATTTAATTTTAAAATTTAAATTGTTTTTTTCCACAATTTTTTTCATATTTAAGTAAAATTAATTTTATTTTATACATAGTCTGTTCTATGTTGAAAGCTTGTACTATAATTCAATTTAATATATCAATGTTCCTTTGTACAATATAAAAACCGAAAATACAATGATAAGAAAATAAATTATTAGATGATAATAATAGAAGAGAATAACTATTCTCTTTATAATATCAGATCCAATTCAGTGTTTTATTATTTTTTTATTATTCATTTGCAAAACGAGAAAAAACATTTTAAATATATTGTCTACAAAGAAAATTTAAAAAATAGTTTTTTTATTTCGAGTTGAAATGATATTTCATATTTATTTATTGTCAGTTCATTACACACTTTCTATTCAGTGAAAAAAAGAAAATCTACAACCAAAAGTACCCCCCAGTGTGTGTATTGAATAATGTAATGTAATATAGGTAGACATACATTTTATTATTATAAAATGAACCATTTAATAATATTTTAATAAAATAGTTTATAACTGTTGTTTTTTTTTTTTTTTTAATAAGGTCACTTGTAATAATGAATAATTCACGAGTTATAGGTTTACTATTAATTATCAACGTGTTTCAAATAAGTAAATAGATTTCTAAGAAATCTTTTTAATGGTTACCAGGTTTTCGGTTTATCTTTAGGTGTATAATAATCAATTAAAATTTTAAAAAACATAAAAAGCGACATTTTTACATTACCTTAAATTTTCCTATTATTCTAACATATAAAAATATATAAACTATTTTAATTAAATGCGATAAAACTAATAACCGTCAATAACGAACTGTGCTGACTTTTCGTACGATGGAAATTGTAATTACCATTTATATTTAAATTTAAAAATAATATGAAATAAAATAAATTATCATTTAAAAGAGGGAAAAAAAAGAGACAAAAATGGGTATTTCGTTTATTCTTTTCTTTTATAACGATGTTACGTTATTAGGTTGATCAAAAACGTCAATAACGAAATAGAAAATTATAATATTAAATTAAATTACCGAATGCTTGAATATTTTGCAAGTTAATCAGGTCAAAATCAGAAAAAAACCTACTTTTATTTTAATATATGATTTGCAATTCAATTATTATGCTATTGCATTCGGTTTTTTTCGCCTTCACATTGCACATTTGAATAACCGTCAAAATAATATTGTATTTTCGTATAATAAATTCACGATGTCTCAAACCGACTTTTCAGATAAAGTTTATTACTCAACTTATACTTATCGTATATACCTAGATTGATAGATACCGCAATGACCTTTGTTGGATTTCTATGTACATATTATTATAATATGAGTAGGTGGCAGCTAATTTGTGTTAATTTACCTTGTCTTGTCACTGGAGACTAAACAATAGCTGATAGAACTTTTATCCAGATTAGTCGATGGCGATGTTGATGATTAACAGCTATGAACGACACTATATATCGTCATTGTTCGACGATAACGACTGAAGGGACCTCCTTAAAAAAAACAGTGTACCGAGATTCAAAATTAAACCAAGCTAAGTCGTCTCACTCGTCGGTTTTATTTTCTACTTGCACACGAATGACGGTGATGTCGTTTCGTACGTTCGCTACGGATTGCACTGACGGAGTGATTATTATTGTACTATGTATGTATAAAAAAAAAAACATTAAATTGAATAACAAAATCTACGAATAAACACTATTATTTATATATATATATATCATACAGCGCCAGTAGGTCTCTGGTTATCTCTCCCCGTAGCGCGCTGTTACCTAATAGCATCCGCACTCGATGCTAATATTATAATAATTATCATTGTGTTATTGTCTTAGCAGTTTTTTTTAACGCAACGCCGGACAATACCGGTCGATTACCACCGATAAATCGAACTGTGCGGGCCGATAACAAAATATTTTAAGCGTGTATTTCATGTATTTTGTCGATTCGATTGGATGAAAGGTTGAGATTTACTGTGAAAACAACACTTTGACTTGGGGGGCCGTTATGATATTTTAACTGGTTCACGGTCCATGCATATAATAATAATATGTACTCTCCGCGGTGCACCAACAACAACATTAAACAACGGTTTTTTTTCACATCTTATACACACGAGTAATTACTTGTCCGTTTCGTTGTACCGATGACGATGATTGATCGTATCGATCAACCGTGTTCGCCACCGTCTAGTCGACGAGGGCAATAATTATTATGAAATAATAATATTCATATTTTATCATATTATATACATACGATATGTTCGGATCGTCAGACCCCGCAGTGACTCGCAAAATTAAAAACGAAAACAAATTTCAAATAATAACCGAACCGTCTGAACCTATGCCGAGTTAATTAAACCCACCGGAGCACATCCGAGTATTCTGTATAGGTAGTTGTGTAACCATCAATAACAATACAGATGACTATTTATTTTATTTTATTCATTTCCGAGCAAAACAAACGTTGGCCATGCAAACAAATACGATCTCGCCGTTTGTGTCATAAAATATATTTTACATTTTTAAATAATATTATAAACCCTAGTAAGAATTTGTATTATATACGAAAAAAGCAATTCCATAATTGGTAACTTTCAATGAAAAAACTCAAAGATTGATGAAAGTTTAAACGAAATTTCTCCATAATAAAAAAAAAAAATAATTTCAATGAGCGGTAAACGGACATTTGATTTATATTTTTTGTAAGCTTTTTATTTTTTATAAATATTTTAAAATTCTGACAATAAAAAACGAATTAATAAAGTCTAAAATGCAATAATAAAAATGATCTAATTCAAATATAGTATTATCATTGAGTATATATTGTACAATATAATATACTCTATGGTAGTATTATGTTTTAGTAATTTTGAGTTTTATTATGTCTACAAGATACATAAATGTTTGATGATTTTGTTATAAAAATAAAACATTATTTATTTATATAATTAAATCTATAAAAACAGCAATAATATTTTTTCGGGGAACGCACTTGGTATTACATTAATGGCCCGACTTTATGTAATAAAAGTGGCAATCAAAATTTTAATGTTAAAGAAATAATAAAAGCAACATTTAAGCGCGCTAACGGTAGTCGGTAGATACAAAATACATTAATAACTTTGCATTTTCACAGATATGGTATTGTTGATCTACTACGTTATTCAATTTGATGTATACATTGTTAATAACTTATAAATCAGCTAGAGTAATATAAGTATTGCCTCATATTTATAAACACTCACGAAACAAAAAAATGCATTATATTTTTTGTTTTTAAACGACATTAAAGCTTCTTAAAGTGTATTGCTAATATTCTACAATATACAGTTTCGTATTTATTGTATCTAAATAAAGACTAGTTTCAAATGCATTTTCTATGTGAAACTTCCCAACTCCCCGATACCATAAGCTATTAAGGTATATGTAGTCATATTACAACGAGTTGATAATTCGAGTAAATAACGTTAAAACTTGTATCGTCTGTTTAATTACATCATAGTTTGTAGCAACTCCAAACTGCAGACACTTTATGGGCATTGTTTAACTAAAATATTTTATAGGTTACATTGTACGCATGTGCCTTAAATGGTACTTACACCAACCTACTACCAACATTACTCACTAAATTCGGCTATTGAATAATTTAACTTCAGAGTAAGTAAATAGCTTATGAAATACTATTTTACATATCATAACATACATTCTATAAATATGATAATAACATTACTAAATATAGTTGATTATGGGTTAACAAACACCGGAATTTAAATCTGGATTTGTGGGCTTACTTGTTTTTCAAGCCGTAATCCTAATTAACACGAATACTATTACAAAATATGTATAGCCTACTTTTAAAAAGTTAACTTAAATCAATATATTTGTATTATTTAACTTGAGTTTAAAAAAAAATTGAACATGACATATCCGGATAATTTGTAATTTCTGACATCTGGATATTCCCATCAATAGTACTTAACTGACTTTGTAACTATGAAATGTATGTATCTACATAATATTGTGTCTGTCGGATGATAACGCTTACAGTTGTTACACTATAAACACAGTTCTATTTTAGAAGAAAAAAAGTTGATTGCTATTTGAATTTATTTTGGCAATTGTTCGAATAATAATAAAAATAATTTAAACGTAGTATTAGGCACTTATTGAAAATACGTATAGATGTTACAGACATTGTAAAATAAGATATAATCGTGAAAAAGTACAACCTGGAAATTTGGCATGTGGCTTAAACGTCCTCGTTAAAAAACATTTAGCAATGGAGAATTGTTTTAATACTAACTTGAAATGATTCTAAAAATAAGCAGTCTCAGACAAATAAATACAAATTACAAAGATTATGTCATGTTCTAGTTTTTTGTATACTTAACTGAAAGGGCCCCGTACTTACAGTTGATATTTATGATATATAAACAAGATTATACAAACGACACGTTCTAACAAAGCATCTGTTTCCCTTATTATTAGAGTAGAGGCCGTTAGGGTCTTGACGCTCTTAACTTTCAAGATTAAAGGGTGATTTACTGTAGCCTAGGTACTCAATTAGCTTTGCTTATTACGTAGAAAAATAATGTCTTGAACTACTATTGAAATATATTATTACAAACAACTGTTAGATATCATCATTAGAAATTGTAATTTTTCTAATTTATTATTCATTGAAGTATTGAACGGTCCATTTAACTGATAGTCATTTGATTAGAATGTAGTTATTTATCAACGTATTGTAATGGATTGTATTTACGGAGATATTTAAAAGTTACAATAATAAACAACGAACATTTGGTGTTAACCTAGCAAAATTAATACTACTTCTTAGCTGGACATAGTTGTATGATACCTGCATTAGTCGTACTTCAACAATTTTGTTAGACATATAATAAAAACAGATTGATTTATAAAATAAGTCATGCAAACGGCTATAGTTTGATACCCAACTCTCAATTACTGAGTAGAATAAATTTGTATAAAATCGCATAAATTCAAGTCAGTGAAATTTACTATTAATACATCATTTTGCGTAATAATTTTATAATAAAAGCTGTTTATTTGTTTTTTTATACGTTAATCATTTATCAAAATTATTTATTTTAATTTTCAATTTAATTTACTTGGTAACCACAGTCGCATCAAAATAGCCACGCCCAGCGGAACGTTTGATAATATTCTTTAGACCATTTATGAAAACAAGAAAGTATGTGCACTGTGTATAAGATAATAATATTGTAACGTGTAATCGATAAAACCTAATTAAATTATGTTTTGAATAATGACGTAATGTTAACTTTAGCAAAGTGTCAAATGGCTCCTCCTGATGACACTTGCAGATTAAAACAATTCAACTATGCATTTGTATAATTGAAAATAACCGTATTGATTAAATTCGGATATTAAATCTAACGAAAACACTGTCATCCATCACTGTTATCGCATCGTCGACAATATAAAGCCCCAGCAGCTAATGTGCAAGGGTAGGTAAGATGTGGGTATCTCGCCCCAGTACATTACCATACTACCCGTATAATACAAATTTTCACAATTGTTCGCCAGTAGAAGACTTGATATCTAATGTTTATATTTTTTCGTTTCCCCGTGCTATTGTGTTTATTATTTATTCGTGTAGGTACTCGAAAATAACGATTTAACAGTTGATGGTAGTCGAATGTGTCGATATACGTATTACATAGTGAATTATCTATTTACAAATTAGTTTTACTCAAAATCAAACGAGAATTGATTAGTGAATCGTATTTAGTTTTAGAATGAACTTTTTTCTATTATCAAAAATGTCTAAAATAAAATAGTTGTCAATTTTAAACTTCAATATAAGCTTTTGACGTCGGATAAACTATTCAAGTACAAGAAAGGAAGAGTAACCGATTTAAGTCAATTGGCTAAAAATAAATACTTTTGGCCTGAGTGGCGAAAAAAGTACAAATAAATTGCGGACATCAAATCATCCTAATTATGATGACCCTTCCTTACAAAATTATCATATTTCTAATAACCAGGTGTACATCTTTAGCCAACTTGTGGAGAACACCCGGCATTTAAATCTAAACCGTATACCATTACAATAAAGGCAACAGTTTTGACTCAAATCAAGACCCATGAAATAACCATTATCATCAGATGCACTTAAACCCAGAAGGTAATAAAAACAGTTTAATAATGATCCTAATGAACGCCGTTAGTTTGCATTTGGATTGATTTAGTGAAAACGAATAAAATATAACTGTTAAGATTCAAAAAACGGATCGATAAAACAATGTAAATCACTTCAAAACTTCCGACAATCATTATAAGAATGCACACTCACAAAGAGCTTTGTACAAGGTGAATCGATTTTACGTAAGACACTCGTTTTCCCGGAAAATAATTATTATTTTATAGATTTTCTAAAACTTTTTTATTTATATTATTGAGAAAATGAGTGTCTTACGTTAAATTCATCACCTTGTGTTATCAGGAAACTAAGTAAGCGTATGTCACAAAACGCATTAAACTCTGTTCACATTAAATGCAATATAGGGGGAAGTATGCCCATTGGGAAACTCCAGAAGAAACCAAAGACATTATAAAAGACATTATATTTTACGACTTATAAAAGTCTTAATGTTA